TGCTTTTAACGCGTAAGCGGAGATCCGTTTTGTCTCAGATTTTGTTCCACCTCTAATTGAGGCATGTGATTTGGTCTACTTAGTGCTTCGCTGTCCATGACATTGAACACACCGCGCTTGACGAGCATGTGAGTGTTCGAATTTTTAAACCCAACACTACTTCAAAAATTGTAAAAATGACCGAAAAACTCCGGGTTTAGTCAAGATACAAGCCGGCTTGCTAAGATTCATATATTTATCTTTTTTAAAAAAAGAAACGTTTATTTGATAACTGAGATTCTATCTTTTTACTAATATGCGTCATGTTGGTATGTTTTGACATTTAGCATGTTAATCGAATGAATACAAATTATTTGGGACGTAGTAATAATCAATATTACTCTATATAAGATTAAATTGCTTCCAAAAGACCTTTACATAGGTTGCCACTGATGGAACTTCCGTTAAAATAATTAGAAAACCATAGGAAATTTCATTTAATTATATGAGAATAGTTTTGAAAAATAAGCAAATGCAAATTAATTTAGTGTCGTGGTCTTGAGCTTGATTCTATAAAAAGCTGAACACATGTGAAAGCAATCTTCGAAAAAATGACAGCTGAATCGTTACTGGAACTATAAATTTCTGGTTCTTTTGTTCTTTTCAAACCGACTGTTTTTGTATTTGATTATTTTTTTGCTGGTAGAATTATGCGTTTTTTTCTAGAAATGACATACGAATTTCCAATTAAAAAACATACTGGTAGTATTTTGTGATTCAGTTTTAGATCAGATGTAAACTTGATTTTCAATCTATTCTAGCAGTTCCTAATTACCCCGCTGGGCTTTTTTTTTGAGTGATACTGTTAGGTTTGTTGTTATTCCTTTCTGGAGCATTAATGGGTAGTGTAGATTACTAAACAAAAAGACAAAGAAGAAAGAAGGCAGAAACTATTCACATAAAAGTACGTTGAATGATTTTTGTAATTGACTAGAACATCATTTGAAGATATAGATTAACAAGGTGTTCATTTATAAGATTCGAGTCCTGGTTGGTAGAGGTTTTTTAATTGATTGCAGTGTTTTAATTGCACAAGCCATTTTTCTCATGATATTTTGCGCCCTGGAATGTAAGATATTGATCAAGGATATTCTGAAAAAATTTACTCGTAATTTTGCTTCAAAAATCGTATCACTAGTGATAAACCCGTTAAATAGATGATAGATGTGATATGTTTGGTTTTTATGCCTGTTTGTCGCGTGCCTTTTGAGTGATTTTAGAGACAGGTCTGTCAAAAAGGTCTCTGCTCCGGCGGAAGGTGATCGTGGCCTGAAGAGGCTGGTGGTGCTTTTTTTACTTTTGGTACTAGATTTTACTTTTTCTTTAAATTAAATTTGTAATAATGTTTTCTTCATCTTTAGAATTCCAGCTCCCTTGATCTGGGTTAGTTCAATCTCTTTGTGTCCAGTCAAATTTCTTTATAACACCCGCCGTCGAGATGACGAAAAAAACCAAGAGTGTACAAGCAAAACCTGGTTAAACCTTTCAGGCCTTTCAAATTGGTTAAGATGTAACTGTTGTTATAAATGTTATCAAATGAATTGTGTAAAAATAACTGTTAGCGACTCTAAGAAAATCCAATGGTATCAATGTCCTAGTGTGTTTATGTGAAATCTGTCAATATTGCCTCAATTGGTAACGATTTTTAGATAACTATATAAATGCAGCCATTTCTAATGTACCCTTGGCAAAAAATCTTTCGGATAAAATGATTGATATTTTCTCAAATGTAGAAAACATTACTTATTGGCTGGTTTTTTTGACGTTTTTTTTTCTTGAACAACACAACCCAAGAGAAGTGGTCGTAAGCAAACAACAGCTCTGAGCTCTATAAGTAACGCAAAAACCAGAGCCAAAATTGTTTCACTGTCTGAAACCCTTATTCAAGGGACAAGCCCAAAACTGAGAGATCTCGAGCAGAGAATAAAGCTAATCAACAGCAAGCTCGATGAGGGAAAGATAAAGAGAAGAAAAAGGCTGGCCGCTTCAGATGAATAAATGGTATCTAAAGACCCAAAAGAGCTGATATGAAAGCCCCAAACCCGGAAAACGTTTTTCGTAACTGAGTTCGAGGTGTAAAAAGCAATTATGGTTTTCATAAAGGGTTCAGGAGCCGCTCCAGAGAAGATTGTTCTTGAAATTTTTAAAGACCTTGATGGTAAATCAAATGGAAATGCGGGGCTCAATTTCTAGAAAACGCATGCTAAGCTCCTAATTCGTTTAGGTGAAGGTACAGTACCCAAAAAGCTAAGACCTTTCTTTTTGGAGCAAAATTTATCGCCCTCATAAAAAAAGACGGAGGTTTGCGACCGATTGCCATCTGCAACACGCTCAAATGCATCGCGTCTAAATGCGCAGAAAGCAAGCCTCTCGCTGAGCGACAAATTGTCTTAGGAGTTTTCAAGCAGGATGTGTTACTAAACGGGGAGCTGAAATTGCTGTACACTCCTTTAAAGATTTGATAAAGCGTGATGACAACCCGAAGTGCTAGATTTTAATACTAAAATAGTTAGAAGTACTAAAATAGTTAGATTTTAGTACTAACTTTAATTCGCCTAGAAGAGAAATTATGCTGAATCACGTTTTTTTTAACTGCCCGGATTTAGAAAAATATACTTATTGCGCCTACAATAAACCGAGTTGTTTTTTTTTTAACGGAAAGTCCATCATTATGTCGGAGGACAGAACAAAACAACGTGATCCCGAGGTTCCACCGTTTTTGAAAAAACAAAACAGACGCCAGTAAAAAAAAAGGTTGAATCGAAATTAAACAATAAAAATGAGCCCTATTTCAGAAAAGGTGAGCTATGTTTTCTAGGACAGACAGCTAGTACGTAGTACAATACATTTATAGGTCAATTTTGAAAACTATGTTCAATATTAAAAATCAAATCCAAGGATGGAATGTCATTGTGGGTTCCTCTATAAGCGAATCTTGTCAAAAAGAACTGCTAATTGAATAATAGCTGAGCTCGAAAAGATCTCGGAGGTCAATGATAAGCTGGATGCACATTATGGTTTTTATTTTCTAAGAAAACGCTTTAGCATGCCCAAATTCCAATATTTTTTTGCGTTTAAGTCCTTAATTTTTGCAAAGTGATTTTTTGGAAAAAAAGGATCAAAATTTAAGAAACTAATTATGCAAGATAAGTATGCTAGCTAAATTTTACAAGCAGTTCTCCCGGCAGCCAAAAGTGGCTTGAGTGTATCTTCTGCTCACCTACTAGCTTTACCCGTTTTTGTAGCGTCAGCAGTAGGATTAAAGCTACTTAAGTGAGACTTTTGGTTTGGAGCACGAGGTTGGAACACATAATGATGCATTAGCACTTTAGTTTGAATCAGCAAAAGGTTAAGTAGCTCCGGAAAAAGAATTTCAAAAAAAAGTTTGGACGGAACCCATTTTTGATGAACAAGTTTCTCAAACGATTTTGAAACTAGAACCTACGGATGTAAGAAGGTTCAATCCTTACCAGGATAAGTTCGAATCTAATGGTTGCATTTCACTCTGTGTAAAATTCGAATATTGAAATTATCGAATCAGCAGCTTAAAGTTGCAATTAAACTCAAATTAGTGAAAAACACAGATACGTTTGCGAAAATGGTGTAACCGAAGATAGATAACCTGGCCTATCTTGTCTCAAAGTGCAAGGAGACTCTCTAGGTATTCAAATTTGAAGGCCCTTATGAAAGAAAGTGTCGCCTCTTATCACATTTTTCTGTTATACAGTCACGACACCTCCACAGGACAGATCAGAAGCAAGTATACGGTTTGACTCTCGGCACATAGGCTGTTAGTAGGCAGCTCCTGTGGGATATATTGGTAGATGACTCCCTAGTTCCTAGTAGAATAAGCGCAGACTAGGGTTGTAACCCCGGAATGGCCGAGGCCGAAGATAGAAAATCTAACAAATATAGAGATTTAATTAATGATGGATATATTTAATTTTCCAACCATTAGCTTTTGAAGTTCAGGGTGCCGCCGTACCTAGCACTGCGATTTTTCTGAATAAGCTTTGTATGAAGGTGTAATCGGGTTCCGAGGAACCCAGGGCAGATAGTTTTCCTAAACTGAGAATCTCCCTCGCAATACAGGTTGGGAACGCTGCCTGTGTACTCGGCACTATTAATGATGAAACTACTGTCGAAGAAATTCTATATGTATAGAGCCAAGGCAACAAAAGCGCAGCTTTATATAATTAACGGATAGACCTGTAGCCTCATATTAGGTCAGTCTTTTTGAGTCACTTTCTACTCCAGTTTGTTCTGTGCAGGTGTTAGTTTTCTCAATCTGATTGGCTTGATTCCGAGGATTTCGACTGGATAACGTGATGAAGGGACTCCTTACTGTAACCTCGGTTACTATGATACTTTCGACCTCTTGATTATTTCATCTAGTTGTATACTGTGTTTATTTTGGTCGGTTCTGCTGCTTAGCTTTGTCAGTGTTTAGTTCAAGGATATGTCTTGTAAAATAATGAAAAAGTTGTTAACAAGATTTCTACAGATGCGGAAGAGCACAATTTATATGGTTGCTGCTAACTAAGGTTTCATCTGCATATTGCACTACTTAGCAGTTTTCGGGTAAGAGTTTGTTAGATCATTCATGTGGAAATTGAAAATTAAAGGTCCGAAACTGTACTTTGAGGCACAACTTCGTGATATCCAGTACGATTCTGTGTTATTTACTATAGTCAGTAAATCTTGATTTTTAATAATGAAGTGTTTTTTTTTTATTATCGCGAGGTAACCACTCCAGTTAGCTAAATCTGTGAGTCTTGAATAATTTAGAACAAGCTACTATTAGCGGCGGTGACGCGTTGTGGCAGATGACTGATAAGACAATTTTCATACTTCTACCGAGAGGGAGTTTTCCTACGCTTTGAAACTTCGCTCTTGACAGCTGTCTTGTTTTCCGATAGTTTCAATTAACGATAAAATTTTTGTTTCATTGGTTTTCAGAAGTAAAATGGAACAGAAATATGAGGTTTGCATGACTGGTAGTCCACCATGGGGATTTCGCCTTGCAGGTGGAGCTGACTTTGACCAACAAATTACAATTGGTCGTGTTACTCCAGGTTCGCAAAATTGTATTTTTCCTCAAATTTTCTTCGTAATTTAATTGATGGTGTGCGTAATTTTCTGTGTAGTCCAATTAAATGCGTCATTTAATTCCAATTAAAGTTTGACCTTGTTTGTACATTGAGTTTGATTGTGAAATTGAGTTGAGTTTATTGAGTTATTCCAACTGTCTTTTCCAACAGTTTTCTATTAAATTGGTTATTAGCGCTTGTTCTAGGAAGTTTAGCGTTCCAGCATGGAATCAGAGACGGAGACTTACTTCTTCACATAGATGGACACAGTACTGTGAATGTGACACATCTAGATGTTCAAAGTATGGTGAAACAGATGGGAGCTGCCGGGCAGTTACGCTTGTCACTAGCACGACCCGGTAGTCAAAACCAATATCGGCCATCTCAGTTTTCGAAGGTAAAAATTTGGAAACGAGTTCTGTTGTTGTTGTTATTAGCCCGTTGTTTGGGGGCGCGTCCGGAATGCTCTCACCGAATTCAAGATGCTTTGCGACCTCCGTCGGCTGTGGTTACAAGTCTGTTGGGTTCAGTTTTTTTTGAGGATAGTTAAATAAGTGTAACGCTGTTTGAGGGAGAAGGGACAGTTTAGAGTAACATTTGGGTCTATCCTATTCATATTAGTATTAAAGTAGGTGATGTATCCTGTTCTTATTTGGGCAAGGGGGAGCCTTGTCGAGCGTGGGAGGGTCTGTTCAGTTTTTGAAACTTCTGTAGTGTTCGGCAAAATTTAGTGAAGGGTCAAGAGAAACTAGAATTTTAGGGTGCTTTACGACCGGCAGTAGTGTTTCGCACATGTAACCCGAGGGTCAGAGTTAAACTCTATATTATGCGACGTCAAAAATCTTACCGAGTGTAGAATTGGTGATTCTACTGTATTACATGCTATAGTAACCTGAGCGTAAGATTGATTCGTCATTAAGTTAACCAGTAGAGCAAACAAAGGGTAAAGTTCGAAATAGTTCAATCTTCGAAGATATCGTCCCTCTTACGGCAGAAAACTCAGGTGAAGTAAGATTTGCGGACCCCCCCAAATGGGAACTACAGTGGCTAGGTTTATGAAACTCATAGGACGGATACTACAGATGATTTGACCCGGGAATGCAAAAATCCATAACCCCCGGACCCCCCGGCGCCAAGTGATAACGGTTCCCGGAAGTGCAAATGGCCCTATCAGAACACGGTAACTAGCTGTTGGAATGGAACCAAAATATAGTATGTTATAGACCTAGTTGAGGGAAGCTTAAGTTTAGAAACCCAGACCCCTCGGACCCCTACTTCCGGTTGTATGCCCTATGCAAATAGACTCCACCCCTAACTTCCGGAAGTCGTTTCTCGGCCTCCAATGATTGCAGGGAGCTGAAACTTGGAGGGATGATAGTTAGTGGCAAGATACATCTTGTGTTATAATTTGAACCAAATCCGGCGGTTGGACCGGAAGCTATTAGCACTTTGGAAAACCACCCCTTAAACCGGAAGTTGGCAATTTACGCAAAATAAAGAGCGAGGGCATATGGATTTTATGGTGGCATTAGATACTGCAACTCATACCCGAAAAAAGACCCCTTCTTATTGAAACCCCTCCGGTGACTCCTTCCGGTGTTAGTAGCCTTTTCCCGGAAAAAGTGATAATGGACCTTAGAAATGGTATAACTTGTGAGCTATTAATGGGGTATGAATGAAACTTGGTAGTTAGGGCCCCCATGGGATTCTGAACCCAAAATGGAAATTTGACCCCGGTTGACCCCTGGGTGACCTTAAGTTGACCTTTGGGCGCTTAGGACCAATTTGCATGGAAAGTCCAAGATTGACACCGGAAAGTCGCGTCTTTCCCAGCCCAACCCCTGCAAATGAGGATGGGTCACCTTGCTAAAAACTGGGGGAAAACTTATATATTGGGAACTAGAGCAGAAGCTGATAGAGATATAGCTTTTACATCGCAACCTTGGAGTAGTGGATTTAATTCAAAGTGGACTTGGTAATTATTGGGTTCAATTTAGCTTGTCGAATGCGCGTTTAATAGAATATCAATCAAGGTAAAAGAAAAGTAGTCCCAAAGGAAATTGATAGTAATAGGACCGTAGCATGAGAATTAGGCCTCCTAAATAGTATGAACGGAAGGGAAACTTACTTGGCTTCCCGGAGGTGACTTTCTGGTTTAATTTGACTCCTAATGGACGATCTACCTTACCCTGATAGCTAGAAGGTCGGGATTGGAATAGAGTACAGATAGAAATTTTAGATGCCTGAAATTAGTTAGCTACCCATGAAAAGGGTCTCCCTCTACCCTTGGAAGGTCGAAACGTTAACGGGATAATTAAAATAAAGACCTTGGGAGGGTCACTGAGTAAACATAGCATGCTTTGGAGGTTGAGTTGAACTCGAGGGCTGAAGTCACTGAGGTCTGGAATTTGCTGATTAGAATCGTATGACGCTTGTTTGCTTGGTCAAATTGTGACACCTACCGCATACCGGGTATCTAATAAGCGTGAAAAAATTGATAAAAGAAAACGAAATTGGCACGTGGCAGAAGTGACAAGGGAGGGATATAGCCTTAAAACATGTGCGAACTGGGTAATTTAAGCGGATGTCAGGACTGATAGGGAATGGCGTGACTTAACTAAAACTAAGTGTAAAGAAAGATAAGGAACTGGAGGGTACCGGAGAGCCTGTAAGAGTCAGAACAGTTGTTGGCTACTACTAAGAGTAGTTGGTTCTCGTCACAGAAGAATTATTGCGAGCGAATCAAATAGTTGGTTCTCGGAGTAAAAGACCAGTAAATATTTAGTTTTCATCAGATTCTCTAGAGAGAGAATAGTTAGTGTTAGCGGAGTAAAATGGAAATTAATTGCAATTAGGCAATTTGACCGATAAATTGCAGACCCTTCCCTTGAATTTAGATTATATCCTGGCCACTCAGAGCCTTCTGTAATTGGACATATAATAATCTAAATTAATTTATCATTGGAAACCCTTGTGATTGTATTGAGTAGACGAGACAAGACAGCCGAAGAGCAATACACAGAGGGGCAAGCAAAATAATACAATACAGTATTGTTACCACCAAAATGTCGTTAAAAGAGAGAGCGAACCTAGAGAAGAAATCCCCTAAATCTACATTGGCGCTCCTGGGTGGGCAATTTCTGGATTGCAGTTGGACAGTGTGTAATGCTAATTGACGATATAGAAGAACGAACGAACGATCGACGAAACATTTGCGATGGCGATGAACGATGAAGACAGACAGCCGATTGCTGAGGCTGCAGTGGCAGCGGCCCATGCTCTCGATCGAAAACGGAGTGTTCGGATTTGGTACGATGCGACCAGATCGGTTTCCCTCGAGCAGTTATCAGAACTGGCGGGACTGGAGGAAACACTTTGCCTGGATAGCAGACGCCAATCGATGGGACGATCAGCAGGCCAGGATGGTGCTGCCGACTTGTCTGACAGGCTGGGCATTGGATGAGTTCTTGAGTATGCCAGCTCACTTTCGAGAGGAAGTTGACGGGATCGAGGAGCCGACGCTAGGCAGAATGCTTGCGGAACTCGATCAGAGGATGATGCCATTTCAGACAATCAGCTGCGAGGGCTGAATTCAAGAACCTCATGCAGGAGGAAGGCGAGGGCTTGAGAGATTTTGCAAGACGATTACGATCCTTGGGTGAAGTTGCAAATACAAATCTGGGAGCTCAAGCCCGAGACGACATGAACCGCGAGCAGTTCACTGATGGGTTGTGTGATTTCGAGCTTCAGGAATTGCTTCTGCTAGAAGACCTCGAGAATTTCAACCAAGCAGTGGCCCGAGCACAGGCTCTAGATATGGCACGCAAAACAGTCAGGATGAAGAGTCGGAGACGGCCAAATCACTTTCGGTCGGTGCACGATGTTCAAGACCTGACGACTGAGGCTGGCGGAGACAGTACGCTGACTACCGAGACTCAACAGATACGGACAGAGCTGACGAGATTGGACAAGCACACTGACCAGAGGCTGGACCAAATGATGAGGGCTGAGAACAACCTGGCGAAGCAGATTGATGTCCAGAGTTCGAGGCATGATGAGGGTGAGATTGCAGATGCAGATGCAGGAATCATGCCAGAACGATCTGGCGGCTCAAATGATTGCCCAGATGCAGAACTTAACGACAATAATCGGTAGGTTCGTTGATCCTTGTAACCCCAAGCCAGAGAGGTACACCCGACGGGGAGAAAATCAGCAACGCGACTTTGCAAACCCAATTGGGCGACAGAGTAGAAACAACCCATGGACCTAGGGTGGTTGTTTTAATTGTGGACAGGTGGGCCAGATTGCAAAAGGATGTCCCCAAAGAAGCGCGAACCATTTAAACTACCGAGAGCCGTGACAGTAGACGAGTTCGAAGTATGATTTGTCCCGGCCGAATTTAAGAAACAGCAGGCGGAAAGGCGAACGCAAGCTACAGGAACTCAGTTTTGCGCGCGTTACGATACGAATGCAAATAATGATGGAGAAGGGCAGAGCGAGAAGATATTGGAGCAGGAACAAGTTCTATCTATATTGGAGCGAGTACCAAGGATCAGAGAGAACGACCCAAAGTTGGAAACGTAACAGAATTCGCGGACGCGCATCGAGCGTGTTGGGATCAGTCATGATGTCAGCGATCCACGCGGAGCAGTCGTTGATTCTTGCGTAGGCGGAACCCATGTTGAGGTGCTGCTTGATACCGGAGCCACCACCGACCTCATAAGGACAGATGCTGCGCGGGGAATGGTTGACGCACCGACGATGGAACACTACATAGGTCGACTGGAGGCAGCAGACGGACAAATAATGGCGGTCAACGGAGTTGTCAGAACTCGCTTCAAGTTGGGCGACATTGCCGAAGAAATCGAAGTGCTTGTGGTCCCGAAACTGAAAGCCGAGATGGTCCTAGGACTACGATCGATGAAAGAGTATCAGTGCTCTTTAGTGTTCAGTCGCGGAGAAGATTTATTGTGGACGGGGACGAGAGAAGGTTCAATGGCACCCATACGGCGCTTGACTCATAGGCCTTCTCCGGAATGGATGCCCTCTCTGCCACATGAACCGGGTGGAAAGATTAAAGGAAATCATATTCGAAGATCAGACATGCGGAAGAGGCTGATTGCGAAGATAACAGCGGCAGTGGAGTCTCCCGACAAAATCTTGGAAGGGTGGCCGACGAGTTATGACGATCACAGCATAAATGTGGTTCAAGAAACGAAAGTAGAGGAATGCGAAATGTACGGGTGCCCAAAGCCTGTTTCATTAGATGAAGCTTTGAGACAAATTCGTGGAGGAGGCCGAACCGAGAGAGTTGCAGTGGTTCAAGAGACAGAGGTGGACGAATTACTCGACAGCGATGCGATTCGATGGGAACGAACGAACGAAGAGATTGCGACA